CTGGGACCTGGTGGGGGGGGGGGCTCCACCTCAGACCCCCTCACAGAGCACACGCACACACACACACACACACATCCACCCCCTCCGCCCAACACAAACAAGCTCTGGGTGCAGTGACACGCCAAATGCACACACGTGAACACACAGCTCCCTTCCTCACAGCACAGATAGCATCTCAGCGTCACCGCAGCTCTCCTGCAGTTTCCCATTCACTCCCAGCTCACTTTTGTTCCCTGGTTTATAAATGTTAGCCTAATCGTTATTTTTCTTACCTTTCTAAGAATTGTTCCTGTACCTTCAAGCTGTGCATGATGTCATTGAAGGTTTTCTCTCTCTCTCTTTTTCTCTCTCTCTCTCTGTCTTTTTCAGGTCTCCACAAACTGCCTTTAACTGTGTCAAGGTCCACCGTGCCCTTCAGACTCCTACTGGCCAGTGGGCTCTCTAGAATCCAGTGATCACTGCCTTCTTTAGACTTCAGGAACTGAGCCACTTCAAATGCAAACCCACTGGATTAAATGCATTTGTAATTCAAGGCCTTTTATTGGCTGTCGGTGTCGGCCGCTCCGCTTCAGCCACGAGCGGGGCCGCACTGACCAAAACATCTGGGTTGACTGCAGGGACATGAGCTGGTGCCTGAACTGAACTAAGTCAAGGTCGTGACCGGAACAAGGGGAAAAGGCCAGACCAACAGCTTCGCCACGGTGGGCACTACCCCCCCCTCCCCCCCTAAACCCCAGGCCTTACGAAAAGAGGATTTTGCTGGTGTTGACACATGTGAAAGTCAGCAGAAATATTTAGAAATATTACACCGTTACTCTGACATAATTTCCTCTTCCTGTTTCAGGTCCATTAACTGCTCTCTCCTCCTGCGTGGTTTCCCCACGCTTTCCTCTCCTGTGCTGCTCCACTATTTTAAGACAGACAATCTTATTTCCATGTGTTTTTTTTTTGTTTTAGTCATCCAGTCTGAGCCAGGGATGCATCAGTAAATGAAAGGAAGTAACTACTAGAGACTAATGGGACACACACACACACACACACACATATTCACAGTACAATAAGTGTCTGTGCTTTCACATAACAGGGGATTCAGGACAGTGACATGGTCAAATGTTGGCGTGTTCTTAAAGCTTGTATACATATACATGTGGGGACATTTTTATGGTAATTTGGGTTTGTTTTAGTTTCTGAACAACATTACATTTAGTCTTAGATCGGGTCTTCAACTTTTACAAACACATTTAAAATAGAAAGCTTTAATTTCTCATGCCGGGTATATGAGAAGTGCCTTTATCCAATTAAGCTGTGAATTACCAGGCTTTTTGGGGGAATGTGCAATATTTCATAAGTTAAACAAACACTTTACCAAAGAGTAATTTCTTTTATAAATTCCTTATTCTTTCTGTGAAGTATTTTTAATCATTCCTTTTTGATTGAACAATAGGTGAGAGTTTGAGCTTTGTCTGAGAGTGATGTGGAAAACAGTGAGTCAGTGAGTCTATGCAGTTGTTTTTATATATGCATATATTTTTGATAATCAACAACATGGTGTTGATGGTCCTGTCTTTGACATTGCTGCTGTATCAGCAGGTTAGTAGCTGTCGGCTCCACCAGCAGGGGGCGCAGCCTCTCACACTCACCCTCGTCGGTGTTGTCTGAGGTTCCTGCTCTCTCTGGTTAGTCATTATGTGTATTCTGTAAAAAGCTCCCCGAGGTTTACTTATTACACTTTGGCTGGAATTTTGTGGAAACACAAACCTTCTGATGTGCCGTTTTTATATTTTATTTTTATTTATGGGCATTTTGGGAACTACATTTACACGTTAGCTTATTTCTCTGAGGATTTTAACAGCAGTTAAAATCCAGAATGTGATACAGTTTAGAGGGTAAAAAAAAATCTTTAGAGTATTTACTCAAAGATTGAAAAAATGTTTGACCTGTTTACTTTATAAAGTGCTCCCATTTTCTTAAAACTGGTTTTAACTATCGTTCTTTGCCAAGAAAGAAATAAAAAGTGTATTTTTAATATTTGTTTGTGTTTTTGGAATGAGAAAGACCTCTGTGAAACCTCTGTTTGATGCAGTTACACAGTTGATACACTTTAGGTAATGTATCCGTCCATCCATAAATGTAGCCATCGCGTGTGTGCGTGTGCGCGCCTGTCCTCCCAAACTCCCTCCACCCTTTTGTTGCACTTCTTTAATCAGCAGCAGAAGAAAGCTATATTTTGGACATCGTCTGTCAACAGTGTCCAAACTGGACGCCACTACAGCCGTGGCCCACGCTTTCCTCGCTCTGATGCAGCAGCCAGATAAAAACCCTTCAAATTAGCAGTCACCTCATCACCACCCGCCTCCCTTTCTTCCATCCCTTTTCTTTGTTGATTTCCTCCTCTCATTTTTCTAAAGTGGGTTTAAAAAAATCCTGCCTCTGATTAATTTCTCCCTCTTGATTTTTGTTTGTGTGTCTTGCTTGGTTTTGTTGGATGTTGTAATTGAGCTTATTTGCTTTAGCCTCTTGTTTTGCCTTGTGTTTCCTCGGCTGAGAGGAAACGGCCACAAGTGTGGACGTAGCACTACATGCACATCTAACACTGTGAGGAGGCAACGCATGAGCCGAACGTGATTCAATTAGTCATAGACTCATTTTAATTTTTCATATTCTTTATAACCATTTAACTATGAATCAAAAGTCACAGGTGAGAAGTTGAGACTATAGTGATTCACAACAATGTTTTCTTGCCATTTCGTTTCAGCTGTTAAACGAAATGTCTTATAATATATGGTGCCAGAAATTGCCCGGAAATTTTACATTTTATATACTTGCAGTTAGGGCCACAGTTTTCTGAACACCCTTTTTCTGAAATGTAGCCCTAAATCATTAGTGATTATCATTCATATATTACTTTACGATCCCAAAATATCAGTAGTGTTTTCTTCCCTCTTTTGTTTTATGTCATTTTTTTTTTAGAAAACATTCAATCTTGGAATCTAATTATTCTCAGTCCAGTAGCCACTCCTTCACGTTTCTGGTTCTAAGCCGACCACCCTTAATTAGGCTTTTGTAAAGTTGATTACTGAATAAAATAGCCGATCCTGTTACATCACTGCGACATTGTTGATTGTATTTTTGTTTTGAGATAAAGAGAAGATATAATATATAATTCAGATTGTGTCCCAAATACTGCAAAAAATTAAATTGCCACATTCTTAATGCATATTATTTTTTTTATAAATGTAACAACATCATGTTCATAAACATATATTGTTCCTAAAGGTCTGTTACACAGTGCTTCTGCTCGTGTCTGTTATAGGAACACTTGTGTAGCACCTCTCCCTGCAGCATAATATCAAGGGTTGATAGCAGCGCAATCAAGGTGTCCCAGCAGTCCCACTGGGTAACACAGTGGTTACCCACCAGGGCTGCGGTGGCTGTGGGGCATATCAGGGACAAGGCGGGAGACGGGCAGCGTGTAATGGGATGAGATACGCTATCTTTATTGTCAAAACATAAGAATGAAGGGGGGAAAAAGACACAGATTAGCTTTCCTGACAGTCGACTGTTTGAAGTCAATGCCAAAGTGCATTAGAGCCTGTTATTCCCTCAGTTTACTCTCGCAAATGCAAGAGTGTTCACAGGAAAAGGCGAGACTTGCTTGCTAATCAACTGATAATGGGTCGTTCTGTCTGTTTGCCATAGCTGCCTGCCATCCTGCCTGCACACTCACGGCACACTTGCTTCACACACTCCTCTGGCACTGGCCTTGGTCCTGTGTTGGGCCAGCAGAAATGATAGAAATGCTTTTTTTTTTTTCGTAAGAAAATGCTAACATACTTATTTAATTAATTAAATCAGAGGCTGAATACTGATATAGACAATGTATATTGTTTTTTATTTAACCAAAATAAGGTATAGCATCATATCTGACGTTTGACCTGCTTGTCTGGGGTCAGGAAGTTCCACCCTTCACAGTCTATTGTCCACTTTAGTGCAGAATCGCCTCAACTTCAGCTTAGGGCTGCTTTCGTGCAAAGGCCATATCAAGACTGCAAGAAGCAGCCTCCTGAAATCCCCGGGCACGTTCAGCATTGGGTGTGAAAAGGGTGCGACTTATGGTTCGTCTACTTGAGCCCAACATCACCCGGTATGTGCAGCTTCCACAGATTGCACCACCCTGCTTCTTCCTGCTCTGATAACAGAGAAGGAGACAGTGAACTGGGTGGTGCAGCGGTGGTTGAAGAAAAAGGACTGGTGCGTGATTGTTTTTGGGATGGGGTGGGAACAAAGGGGGGAGTTAGGTGTCAACTCATCGACCCTTCCAACAGCCTCCATCTAAGGAAGTGGATCCTGCTTAGTGTCACTTCAGCTCCAGGAGAAAAGACAAGCCTTTGATATGTAGCAGCTTCTCTGTCGACTGCCATTAAAAATTAACTCCTGGTAATGATTGCGTCCTATGACCGGCTTTTAGGACTTATATATTTACCAATTATGAATGTGTTTTTCTCCCACAGACAGAACTGAACTTGGCTGACAGGTATCTACTGTATATGACCAGCAGCTCAGGTGTAAGTTTTCTATTTGGACAGAACAAAGCAGGGTTAGTCTAACTCGGGCAGGAAAGATCTCATTTTCTGTGCTGTGGCTTTGCAGGAAACCAAACCATTCATCCAGTCATGTACTCCCATCCTGATATGGGGGAGTAAAATGCTGAAAGTCAGATGGAGGCAGGGGGAGGACGACTGGACGGGGGGCACCAAAATAAAAACTAATAATAATGACTTTATTTCCATCTCCAACCCGCAGATGTTTGCTTCCTTCCTTTGCCTTTTATGTCAGATGGAAATCTCTTGTCCTGCCACGGCTGTGAAAAGAAACGTCGGTGTGGGTAATTGTAGAAATCAAAGTGTTTGTTGCTTTTTTTGATTGAGTTATTCCCTGCATTTGTCATGAAAGCTGCTATCTCTCATCTGTGCTGCTCAGGCCAGACTCGAGTCCTCTTCCATGTTTATCAAGAGGGCAGGAAGATGCCGCTTTGCCTCGGCCACCCCTCCCTACAACATCCTGGGATCTTCTGGAAACATCCCAGAGAAGGATGCCTGTCTGTGGTCACCGTGGAGCTCAGTGACCTGCTTTACAACAGCAAATCTCTGAGTACGTTTGAGATCAAGCAGACTATTAAAAACTTAGAGACGTGGTTGAAAAAAAAAAAACAACCGTAGCAGTGGGACTGCCAGATCGGTCTCCTGTTAGAATTTAGAAAACATTGACCACAGACTGTTGAGCATCTTTTATACATTATAATATCATATCCATTAATAAGCCTGCTTCTCTCCCAATGTGTTTCATATGTGTTACAGCTTTAACTTTTTAAGTTAGTGGTTTTCAAAAAAATAGATTTAATTTTGTCGTGAAAAGCCAAGGCATTAATAAATGATATACTTAACTTTTTATGTCTTTGTTAAAAACTGTGAAAACCTTCCCAGAATTTGGGTTGGTGAAAAGATTCTCACTCGCCATAATAGACATCAAGAGTTCCAGGAACTCAAAGATTCTCTGACCTTTATTCTGCCATTAATTTCTTCTTCCGTATGTGATTACAGATGTCAGACCCCTGAGACACAAAGATCCTTTTCTCTTCTGCTCTCTCTTTGGCATTATCTAATTCATTTTATGGCTCTCAAGGCTATTGTTCTGAGATGGATAAAAATAATATGTTGATACGGCAACATGGGTGTTTCCAGTGTGAAGGTCGGGGGGCCACCGGTTCAGGGGGGGTCAGGCTGGCTCCCCGAACACAGGAAGGCAGCACTGTAACGGGGTGTCAAGGCTGGAGACCAGTGCTGCCTCCGAGACCCTAGACCTTCATATCAATCTCTGTCTATTAATAACACATGAGCAGAGCCTAAGGGTGAGGGAGAAAACACAAGTAACAAAAAGTGGTGCTAACATTAATATGTTAGCAGGGGTGTCCACATTTTTTTTTACTGGAGGACAGATAATATTTAATATACTGTTTCTCCTCCAATACAAACGACAAATACAGAATTAAATACATTAGATTGTTAATAATAATAATAATGATAATAATAATAATAATGATAATTTGTACCAAACAAATGTTTTTGTTTCATGAAACTAATCTAATTAGTCATGCAAATAAATCAAAGGAACATTAACATTAACAATTTCCAATAAAAACATTTCACATTGATACCAAAGTGTCTAAGCTAAAGACCAAACGTTAAAGAGCAAAAACTTTTATTCATAATTGATCAAATATTTTTCAAATGTCTTATACATACAGTAAGAGTTCGTTAAAAACGGCAAATGCCAGCGAATAACTTAGGATTGACATAAGTCAAAGTTAATTCCCTAAAGACCAATGAAAAAAAACGTGAACTGATCCCAGACCTGCAAAATTCACAATTTAATTTCTATGGTCTTCCTTTGAACTGATCCTGGAGCTGCAGTTTAAATTTCTTTTTTTTTTTTTTTGTCATTGTTTATTACCCTCTTTTTGTAGTTTTATCTTGGTTTCTGTATTCCTAGATACACAAGAGATATTTCTAGAACAAACACTGTCATATTTGTGCGGGAAAATGTGTTTGCTGCCGTTTTATATTTTACTTCGACGTTTATATTTTATATCGACGTAATGGTTCTAATTTTAACATATCCATGTTTAACAAGATTAGAATTGTTTGTTGTCATCATATTTTAACGACGTGATGTGTGGTGTCTGTCTTCACCTTGGCGGCGTAAACGCATATCTTCTGTACAGGGTTGAGTTTTGGGAGGCGTGTGCTGTCGCGGTGGGAGAGCGCAGAGGAAGGGAGGGCAATCTGTCCGGACACTAATAAGACCCAATGGCTGGTGCAAGGTGGCCAGGAGCACTGGGAAAGCCCAGGAGCCGCTGGACAAAAGACAGGAGGAGGAGGAAGAAGGGAAAGGGGAAAAAAAATGAGCGACGAAGACCAGTCTGGATAAGGACTGAGGATGACGGAGTCCCCGTGAGCTACTGGGGACACTTTCAGAGAGCTTTGGGCGTGTGGCATTTTTGTGTCCATTCAAAGGAAAGTGCGCTGAGACAGAGACGCGGTAAGTGCGACGAAACTCACCGTAACACCTGCGTCTGCACTTAACCCCGCGGCTGAAGGAGTGAAGATGACTTTCAGTTCATCAAACCATTCAGTAGATGTTGATGGTTGGAACAATTTTGGACAAAAGCTTTACACAGATATACATATTTAGATTTCAACCAATATTTAATTCAATTTCATTATCTCCTGGACTCTTGCAGGTCCGATATGAGAACGGAGTCTGAACGTATGCCTTTATATTTTTGCCTCTGATTTTTTTTTTAATTTAACAGAAGTACCTGCAATCTAAGTATTTTTGTCAAGATTTTTTTAATTGACACTCCATGATATGGAATGGATGGAGATTTTATCCTCATTCACATGCTGTCACTGTCACACACCTGGAACGCTTCCATTACTGTATGAACTGTGAACCACTGACTCCAGGGAGCTCCAATCCTCCCCAATGAAGCAGTCCTGGTGGGCCTGCCTGGCACCGCCAGGGTTCCTTGCTGCCTGGGCCTGTGTATGTCTTGTGCAGGGATGTGGACCGGGACCCGGGTACGGTGTCCGCTCGAGGCCCAGGGTGCTCACACCCATGCACTACAAGCAGTTTTTCCCCAACTTCTCAGAAAACAACCTGGGAGCCAGCGGGAAAGCAGAGGGAAAGATCGCACGCAACTCTGAACGTTTCAATGAACTGGTGTGCAACTACAACCCGGACATTGTCTTCAAGGACGAGGAGAACACTAATGCGGACCGCTTCATGACCAAGGTGAGAGTGGTGTGGCACTGGTCAAGCACAGTAACATCGGATTTGATGGTTTTTGTTGAATGCTCCCAGTAATCCCAGTTAAACTGTCGAGTCGACTACAGGCCAAACAGCCAGTTGTCGGTCGTTTATCAATGTGTGTTGACCACGTAGACCATGTAGACTGTAGCAGTTTACATATTCCACAACAACAAAAAAAACAAACCTCTAACCTTAGTCATTTTCTACTGTACTCCTTACTGCCGGCCCTTTCCAGGCTCTGAACACACAAACAAATGTCCAACACTGAGTGTGTAAGTTTTAACCAAACGTCCCTCCCTTTTCTTCTGATAAGAAGATCAGGTTGTAATTCAACACTACACCTTAAGAGAGCGAGCTCCCCCCCCCCACACCCCCACACCCCAGGAACACTTCCTTTTAATCGTCAACCAAAGTCTTTGTTATTGGAAATAAAACTATTCCTATGGCAGGTTCTCACTGTGCCTGCCAGGAACAATACTCTGTAATGGCACTACAACTTGAATTCTTTTGTACGTTGGTACACACCGGTGTCGGCAGTTAAAAATCAGGTGCAGAAAAGACAGTTGGTGACCAACAGGGAGATGAACAACAGGGCTTCCTGATACACATCTGTCACTCCCATGTGGAAGTTGCGGCTTTCCATGGTTGTTTAGGATTATGTATCTGTGTTCCTTCCACTCTCCAAGTGATTTTTTGTGATGTAAATTTGCGGTTGTACATGTGTGCCCTTTTGGTGCCCAGTATGAGTGTGTGTATGTGTGCAAGTGCCCCTCTTTTGCCCAGATGTAAAAGAAGCTCTTTGTGCATCGTTTGGAGTCTCGGAGGGGTCGCCTATACAAAATTCCCGCCCGCTGAAGTAATGGCACTGTTGGAAAAGCGACTATTGTAATCCTGACAATGAAACGCCTCTCTTCAATGGCATTGCGAGGAAAATGTAGCCAATTTGTTTTCTGTCTCTCTTTCTCACTTTCTCACTCTTGGTGTCACATTCCCAAGTCCATGCCTATGCATTCTTCACCTCTGCCCTCTCCCAGTATTCCCAACTTCAACTCTATGCGACATTACTTTATTCTCACCCCCATTTTTCCTCTCTCCATCCCACACTGTAGCCACCTTCTCACCCAACCCCCTTTTGATTCAGCAGCAGTCCACTCACTCACTCACTCACTCTGCGCACTGTGTGCCAGAGCCGCTACCTCCCAGTTGATAACGTGTTGAGGTGAGGCAGATGCAAACTATCACTTTAGATGCTGACTTGTTCATTTTTGAGACTGCTATT